TCACGTGGCAGTTAAAGGTGTGGAAGGGAACTAACAAGCTTCAAGAATTTGTCCCCTCGGGTGAGTGGGGAAAGTAATTTTGTTACATGGGATCGGTGGATCCACAGTCGCTGCAGGTCCCCATGCAAGGGATTCGTGAGCATGGCTGTTAGAAAGCAACTCTCCCAGAAGGCACACGATCTGGGAGCTGACTGACTGTCCAGGCACTAGTTCTGAGTGTTCATATCCAGAGTTCTCTCGATCTCCACTCTTCGTGGCAGTGAAGACACAGGCGAGCCAATCCAGCAAAAAAACACCGGCTTCAATAAACCGATGTTCTACCCTCCTGCACCGCACCCCCTCCGGTGTCCCACCGGCATCCCAATCCCAGATGTTCCGCGCTCCAAATTCTGGATCCCCAGGAAGCAAGGCTATTACAGGTACCAATTGCCTTTCTACCATCAACTTTCTTAACTGCTTAGTGTCCAATCCTGCCCTGGGTTGGCTTTTGACCCTTCCTGGACTCAGTCTGCTCCATCCATGACTGTCCCAGAAAAGCTACTCCCAGAAAGCAGTTGAGGGTATTAGATCCTTTGGCACGTTATAAATAAAAATTTAGATCAGCAGTAGGTCTTTATTACCTCTTCCCAGTGAGAAGTTGGTTTTTTTAAGTATCGTGCTAACCATGAGGTACAAAAGACCCTGTTTCAAATCCTGGTGTCACAAACTGAGGAGAGCTTCCTGACAAGGATTGGCATAGTGGCTTGTCAGGTATGGGGATTTTTGTTTGGTTTTCAGCTTTGTTTGGTATTTAGTGTTTGTTTCCCTCAAGGCGGTATTTTCAGGGCTAGGCCTGTGCCTGGGGAAGTGAAATGGAGTAAGGTGTTTTCACAGTGCTCCACTCCTCACAGGAACCACTGAGAGATAAGCTGGGCTCCAGCGGCAAAAATAGTGGTACAGAACCATTACAGAGGTGTTAGAAGACTCAAGTTAAGGTTGATCCTCCCATAGTCCCTGTTTCTTCCTTCCAAACAAGATCAACCCTTAAAAAAAAAGAAAGGATAAAAAACCAGGAAGTAAAGAGCACTGAAAAATAACTATGAATAAATAGGACGTGAGGCATACTGTTCACATGTCCAGGCAGCAGGGAAGCAGTCTCTGAAATCTGTGGGGATTGATAGATACATATTCCATCTCAGTACAGAAGAAGGGCTGGTTAATCAGCTGGTGTTTAAATGCCCCTGAAATGTCTGGCATGGACAGATGCCAAGTAGCAGAGGTGGCTGTGGTGGGAGAGGCCACAGGATGCTGAACACGGATGCTTTTTGTTAGATCACACACATGTCCGCAGCTACCAGATGTTGCAGTGATGACTTCTTCTTACAGCTTGTGAGTCCTGAGATTCCATATTGTTATTGCACCTCTTAAATGCTTATATGATTTTATTACTAATATGAGGTCCATCCAGTTCAACCAAATTAGGAGTTAAAGCTGAGAAACCTTTTTCATTATTTACTTAAACTTGAAACAACTTCTTCCAGTTTCATGTCTCTTACAAAAGTGGAAAAACTTTTGTTTTCTGACTTCATGGGTCAGAGGCCAGATTCATCTGAGCAGTAACTGGGAGATGTTTTTTGTAAAGGCACTTTCCCCCGCCACTTCTCTAATCAAAAGGTCTATCAATACATTGGGTAAAAAATTTGAGCTGTTCTCTTCCTGTATGGAGGAAGGAATCGCATGATGCTTGAGCCTGGTAGATTGATCTTCAAGAAACTGATAATAGTCTGGGGGTCTTACCCTGTCTATCTGCTGGCGTCATTTCTGTGGTTTCTTTCAAGGCAGTGTCTTATACAAATGCAATCTGAGCAGCTTCTTGAATTTCTGGTACAAATGCATTGACCATAACACCTATCAGGAAGACAGTCTCCAGAAGGGATGCCTTCCGAGTGTTGCGGTTAGAGATGTTCAACGTGGGCCTGGATAATACCAGAGATGGTGGACTACCACTCCACTGGCAGTGTTTGCACAGACACTTAGTAGAGTAGCACTTATTTTCTCTATACAGATAATTTTGCTTTGCATGCAAAAAGTTCAGGTATGGGGGGGGGTCAAAACGTGGAAGGAGAAACAACTTGTGTCTGTTGCCCTCTCCTGTGTGGGAAGGACACAGTAAGTCCAAGGAGGTGCATTAAACCAGTTTTTTCTTATTGCCAGACTTGGCAAAAAAAAAAAGGGGGGGGGGGCTAGAGAATGAGGACAAAACTACCATGCAGATTTTTTCCAAACAGTTTTGGAGACCTCCAACTCACTTCCACTTGTGACGTAAGCCAGGATTTGAACCTGGGTCTCTTGGGGGGGTAGGTTGGCCTAATCCATTTTGTCGTGGTCTCTTTTTCCCACTGTGCCATCTGACATTCTAGTTACTTAAGGCCTCTCGTTCCTATTATTTCTCTGTCAAGGGGGATGGACTAGATAATGTCTCCAGTTCCTTTTCAGCCATGTTTTATGTGATTCTGTTTTAACTGATTTGATTGCTAAGTTTTTCTGTTCTCCTGCATTTTAGAAAGAGTCAGGAATGTAGTAGATAGAGAATTTGAGAAGCCTGCTCAGGACTTGTAAGGGTCCACTAAGGATTGACTGCACCAAAATTCATGGGCTGGGAGCTTCATGCAGTTCAGGTCTTTCCTAGCCACATCAGACATAAAGCCCATATGTCTGAGCCACGCTTCAGCACAGGGAGGCTGTGAGGCTGCAGGGAGCTGGGGCCTCTTTATGAAAGTCTTGACAGCAGTTCTGACCACTGCAGTGGCCTGCAGAAATACGTAATGAAATAATGATCCGGTATCATTTTTCAACAGTCCCTATCACTCCTGAATGAAAGACTTCTTTCCCCCAACTTCCTCCCTATACAATTTGCATGCCGCTGAGCCCAGCAGAGCCTTGTTAAGCCATGTTAAGATGAACCCATTGGGTGACAGTGGACTCCATTAATGAGTCCATGTATGGTAAGAGTCTGTACAGCATAGACCATACACATTAGTTTGGCCAGTTCACCTTTCATTTTATTTATTTCTAGTTTATCCTTTGAGTCACTACAGTAAATGCATTTGCCCAGATATTGCAAACCCAGTTGAAGTGAGACAAGACCTCACACTATTTGTACCGTTGAACTTGTGCTAAGGGACACCAGCTTGAGAAGGTGGGAGGCACCTCAGCTGTGCCATACAGTGACATTTCAGGACACTGCAGCTACTGCCAGGGTCAAGAACCACCTCTGCATGCTGGAGGTGTCCTCCCATTACAGTTACTGGGGAATTGCCCTGCGCTGTTGCTGAAGCAAGTGAACTGCCAAGAGCACTGGCTGGCAGCACAGCGCAGAGGAGCAGGGCCTGTCTGCTTGGCCTTGGGAAAGGGTAGGGCAGCGAGTTCACTGTTGGAAAGCACAGAGGACCAGAGGATCTGCCGTAGCTTTTCTGGACATTGTGGGCAGGCTCTGAGACAGCCTTTCAGTCCTCCACTTGAACCTTTCAGGGAGGGTGTTTAGGAAGGGAATGCAGATTACTGGGAAGCACAGGGAGAGCTGGCATAGTGCTTCTGTAGGTGACATTCTACATGTTGTGGTGAGGACCCGAATTCAGTCTGCAGGCCAGGTCACCTGTGCCAGAGGCTTTAAGGGCTGCTTATTGTTTTAAGGAAGAGGAAGATAAGGGTTGGGTGTTTTTTGCAGGGGAGGAAGCCATGATCCTTCTGGTTCAGTCAGGACTGGTATTCATGGGCTCCCTAAGAGCCAATCCAGGCCACCTCAGCTAGAAGGCATTCAAGAAAAGTATCTGTCTGTTATCCCTTCAATGAATCTGGCCCATTTGCCTCCAAAATGAGGTATTTGACCCTTCTGCTGTATTCAGGGTATGCTATTATGTGGCATAAGAGCTTGTTGTCTTGCCTTCTGTCTGTATGGTTCTGTGTCCACTATTGACCAGTCACCATCCCTGCTTTGTTCTCCACCCAGCAGAAAGCGCTTTCAGCAGGCGCGCGGA